CCCTACATATGCAACATATTTAAATTTGGTGTTTAGGATTTCTTCAAATTTATGTTTGTGCTGTTTCTTCAATTTTAGCTATTTTCACGGGCTCGCACAGAGCCCATAGAAATACATGGCAGAGTGGTGCGCGTCTCGTGACTTTGCCCCGCCTTGAAGATTTTTAAGAGCTTTCCAAGCACGTTGTAGAAAGAAGCAATATGATTGGCTGTTGGTAAACTGATTCTAAACTGTGAGGCCATTGTCACATACACATAGTCCTAATGAAATGCTTCAAGGTGATAGTGGAGTGCTTCGCCGGAACATTCACCTTGAAAATTCAAGATGCTGATTTAGGTGAAAATGAAGCATCATATTTCATAAATAATTCATTTTACAGTATATTGGGAATGTATCACCACTGATTTAGGTGAAAATGAAGCATCATATTTCATAAATTAGTCATTTTACAGTACTCGTATGCACATCTAATATCTAGACTATACAATGTAGAATTACTTTTAAAAGGGAATTTTTAAAAATATATAAAAATAATAATAATATTGCATTCATTGTACTTCCAGTTTGTTTTGACTGTCTCACTACTATTTTTTATTTTCTATTTATGTTTAGTAAACAGAACAACCATTTAATATCTTGTAATCTGTGATTTACAGCACAGGGGTCAGACTTGATTAGTTGACCCCTATTCCATTTGTATATTTGGTTTCTATATTTTTTTGTGTGTTGTTAAGACTTACTTTTTTTTTGAAATCAACATTATCATTTTACTACGGTTCTGCAACAGGAGTGGGAAGTAACCTTTTTACCACCAGTTCCATATTTTCATCATAAATTCACAAAATAGTCAGTCGTTTATAGTCTGCATTTTTTTTTCAGAAGATTGGGACAAAAAAAGCCCAATTTTTTGAGTAAAAACTGAAATTTTACTTAAATTTTGTCTGTTGGCTCCAAAAAGAGGGTTCATTTCCAGAAATATTAAAAAATATGAGAAAAAAGTGCAATATGGATATGACTACATCGTTAACCTTTTAACCACCAGTTTCCTCTTTTCGTCACAAATTCACAAAATAGTATCGTTTATAGTCTGCATTTTTTTTCAGAAGATTGGGACAAAAATAGCCCAATTTTTTGAGTAAAAAATGAAATTTTACTTAAATTTTGTCTGTTGGCTCCAAAATTAGAAATATTGAAGAATATGAGAAGAAAGTGCAAACAAATTGTGGGCAAGAAAGTCCGGTGGTGGCCCAGACAGGTAGATTTTAGCAGGGACAAATAAAGTACATCATCATTTAGGAAAGATACTTTTATTTATTTTATTCAGTCTGATGAATAAAAGCAATATTAATTTTTAATTTCAATCCATGTGAAAATTGCTGGAAAAAAAAATGCATTTCTATTTTTTTTTTAAATTTTCCATATTTTATTACACTCTAATATAAAATGATTATTTTGAATAAGAAATCAATTTAAAATGGCCGATAGGTAGTCATTTTGCTCTATAAGTTGGTTTCATATTTCACTGTGTATGGAAAGATGCGATTGTTTACATTTTTCAACACGTACATGTGCAGTGACTGTTTAGCACAAACAGTCGGTCACATCGTAAATAGTGTGAAATGTTGTTAGTGTGTTCAAGTTAATTAACAACACTTAATGACAGTGTTAAATAGCAAAAAAAATTTCAAATCGTATCGTAAAATCTGTATTAGAAGCCGCATCTCTAATATAAGTCGCACCAATTCTTTTTGAACAATTGAGAACCAAAAATTCATCATTTCTCATATATGTAGATGCTCTAATAGAAGCCACATCTCCTCTGTTACATTGTACCATTTTAATAGAAGCCGCGATTTTTAATACAAATTTTACAGTAATATCCAACAAAACAATTGCATTATACTCGGTTATTCATATCGCATCTAGATGTTGTTGATAAACAAATACACGCAAACAGACATTGAATATGACTACATCTTTAACCTTTTCACCACCAGTTTCCTCTTTTCATCATAAATTCACAAAATAGTACCGTTTATAGTCTGCATTTTCCTTCAGAAGATTGGGACAAAAATAACCAAATTTTTTGAGTAAAAACTGAAAATTGACACAAATTTTGTCTGTTGGCTCCAAAATTAGGGTTCTTTTCCAGAAATATTGAAGAATATAAACAAAAAAGTGCAGAAAAATGTGGGTGAGAAAGTCTGGTGGTGAAAAGGTTAATGGTGACATCATTTCACAAGAGCAGTTAACTGTCAAAGTGACTTACTATTGGAGGAATAGAAATAAATTCGCATAAATTATAGTCCTACCTGTACTGATGGTTTAATGGCTTTAATATATGCAGCTATTCCAGAAATTAAACCACCTCCCCCGACTGGTACAAACACAGCATCCACATGAGGTAAGTTTTCCAAAATCTCAAAACTTAAAATAAAAAAACAAAACAGTAAATCATTCAAAAATTTTAATGTGATGATTCACTTGCTGACAAGCCATTCATATTTAAATGTTAGAAGAATGTGTTTTCAATAAATCAGGAATTTGTTTGAACAGGGGTGCAGCGCCCTCATGCCATGGCTATAAAAACAACCATAAAAATTCTGATTGACCAGGGATCACATGTGGCCACATTCTTCAACTGTGACCTGTCTGATAGTATTTTTGGCCCCAAAGAAGCCATAGAATGCTCCATTTTAACTTAGAATTATCAAAAACTCCACACCCTGGTAGGGAGAACCATATCTCCCCCACTTGATGGCATCGCTGAATTTCAGTGCTCTTGCAGTTTTTTTCTAGAAAAAACCCCTGATAAATCATATGCAAAATAATCTAAAAATTGGCTACACTAATATTAAAAATTTTACAATTTTTTGTGACAACAATAGGTTGTCCTTATAACACTACATATAAAAAAAAATTTAGATATGATGGAATGTTTCCAACATAGAAACCAATTGTAAAATACTCAAAACTTGCGTTTTTGATTAATTTTTGAATTAGTTAAGTGACCATATTTCTTTTTTTTTTTTCATAATTTAGAACATTTCTGAATATATGTTTTTAAAATGGTAGAAAAATACTTTAATAGTTGATTCTTGGATGGCAAGTGGTGAACTCCTCCATGCATGAGCTCAACAATATACTAAAATCTTGAACACTAGGGGGATGAATTTTCGAAGAGATTATGAACACTATTTGGAACTTTTGAAAGTTAATTGTTCAAGGAAGTACATTGTATCATCACTGTAAAAGGATTAATTATTCACTGGGTTTTAATTTTGCTTATTTCGCTGACTGGAAAATGTGCTAAATTAAAACCCAGTGAATATGTAAAATTTAGCATAGAACACATTATCTAAATGATAAAACCATGAATTTAAATTTATTGTCCAAATTTAACATATCTAAAGAAAGTACCAACAACAATACTGTAAAAGGATCAATTATTAACTGGATTATAATTTTGCTTATTTCGTAGACTGCGCTAAATGCGCTAAATTGAAACCCAGTGAATGTGTAAACTTGAGCATAGAAGACATCTAAATGATAAAACCGTGAATTTAAAACCAACTGAATATGTCTGAAATGGTAAATCAGAGAAATTTAAACCTAGTGAAAATTATCATTTTACAGTATATTGGAAAATGTATTACCACTGATTTTGGTGAAAATGAAACATCATATTTCAAAAATCATATTTTCCTCATTTTGAAACCCAAAATACCTGAGCATTGCAATGTTCTTCATTACATGTATGTTCATATTACAAAACAATATTTTTGTTGATTTCACCCACCAGCAGGATTGATCACTGTCATTCGCATACAAGACCTATTCTTCTTAACACAACAAGCCATTATCATATATCGTTTATTTAATCCTAGACTGGCAAAGTCAAACTTTTTTTTTGTTTCACAAAAAGAAATAATTAATTGTTCTTTTAGTCCTTTTTATAGCATGATCGCGAAAACTAACCTGATTGCTGAAGAAATCCCGACTGACGCATCTGCGGGCATTTGACTGCTATTAATTATTCATGATGTCATTGATTATTCATCAGTGGGTGTGTGAAAGTAAACATGACCTTTTAAAGGTTGGTTCGATTCGATCGCAGAGATGGATGCTTTAACTTTCTAAGTGCAAAGGCGATACTTTCATCCATGTTTACTGAAAACGAGTCGATTTTAATGTCCAATGTATATAAGTAGTCTTTCAAAATCGCCTGGACATAGGAAGTGAAAGGTCATGTACATTAACATAGATAAGATATGACGTTACAGCTGCAATCTGATTCGTTGTCAATGCTAGTCAACAACTTTTAACTAGCATAATCATCGGAGTGATTCCGCTCCGGTTTTCACTCCAATACAAGGGGTCTCCTGCAGATGCTTCCAGTCAGGACTCTTTCGCAGTCTAGCTAGTTTTTGCAATCATGTTAAAAAGGCTAAATTGTAAAACAAAAAAGAAGTCCAGTCTAATTTAACCCCTGAAAACACGCTCTTGACCAATTAGAATGACACATTCAGGCAATTAAAATGTTGGTACAATATAATTACCCAATGGTTTCGCTTCCAATTATTACGTCCATATCATTATACGGTGAAATATACTCAGTTCCAAATTCCTGTATAAAACATATCAGTAAATTTAGTTATAATCACGTTTATATTCAAGACCATTCATCCCACTCCAACGGTGAATCATTTTTCTTCAAACATCTCGAATAAAATGATTCCATATTCAACATGTACTGTAAAATACTTTATTTTCACTCAGTGAAAATAAATTCCATACAAAACACCCAAAAAGTGTTTTCAGCGAAAATTAATTTCAGTATTTTACAGTATATGTACTTGGAATAGTG